TGGCCAGGAGCCAGCAGCGCCCCTGCTGGCTGTGCCTGGAACTGCACCAAAGGGGGAAGTGCCTGCGGCTGAGAGAGGCCGGGCCTGGGTGTCTGGTTCTGTTTAGTGCTGTTGTTTTTGTTTGTTTGAGTTGCTATACATATATTTATTAGTAAAATACTGTTATTTCTTTTCCTATATCTTTGTCTGAAACCCCCTTAATTTCAAAGTTAACATAATTCAGAGGGAAGCAGGTCATTGACAAATGTTATACATTGCTTTTCTCTGCAGAGCCTGATTGTGGCAGACACTGATCCCAGCTTGTGGATCATCTTAAGCCCTGCATGTCTGGACAGCAGCTGGGCCCTGCCAGTACTGAAGGATTATACAGATGTCATAAGGGTGTCATGTCTTTGACCACATGTGCTGCTCGTGGACTGTCACTCGTGTGCTGGGGTCAGGACAGGAACAGGCGAGAGGCAGGATGGTAGAAAAGGCAAAGAAGGCTTTATTCAAAAGAACCACGTGGTTTTTATAGAGTGGTACAATAGATTCTATTCTATTGGCTAACTAACAGAAACATCTTTCTCACCCACTGTCCTTGAGAGGAACAGAAAAATAAAGTAGAAAAACAGCATCTGCAAATTGTTTATACTCAACAAGTTATCACATCTTTCCAGCTCCCTAAAACTTCTCACAAGCCTCTGTGAGAAACGCTTGCTGTTTCTCTCCCTCTGTCCCATGGCATCCACAATGGACTGGGTAATGGAGAGGAGGAAAAGGAAAGGAATGAGGTTGTGGGCTGTTATCCCCAAAGTGAAGATTGTTTCTTGCATTCACTGCTGCCACTCTTTGCATCCAGGATCTCCCTGATGGCCACTGGCTGCAGAGTAGCCAGGGATGTCTTCATCAGTTGCAAGGGAAAATACACAAAGTAAAATCTGCTACAGGGAATCCCACTTAGAGCTTCTCCACCTTTTTTCCTGAACAGACTGGAAGTGTTGCCACAAAACAAATGATGAAAAAGAGTCCCAGTTAGGGATGCACAAATAATTTGGTGAGTCTAAGAAGAAAAGGAGGTGGCTCACAGAAGGAACCAGGAGCAGCCACTAAGATGCAGTGGAGCTCCAGTTGGGTGTGCATGTGCCTCTCAGGCTGAGGGAGAGAGGGCAACACATCCCCTCTAGACTGGCCTGGAGAGACACAGACAGCAGGTGGAAAGAAGGAGATGAGTGGAAGAAGAAAACAACATGCCAAACCTCTGTCATGTCCCCTCACGCTGGAGTTCTTGGGCATGCGACCAAGAAGAACAAGACCAAAGCCCCTTTCCTGACAATTTTGCCACAAAAAAACTATTCAGAAATTACACAAGAGAATATCACCTGCCCACAAAGGATGCTGCTGGCACCTGATCAGAGACTTCTGCCTGTGCTGACGTCTTTCTGCCCCGGAAATCCTTGGGTTTATCCTGTCGGCACTTACAGAAGTAGTCTTTCATATAGGAAAGCAAGCGAAATTACCAGGAAATGAAAAGGCAGCAGCACAGGAAACCAGGACACAGCCCCTACCATTAACTGGGATGGTGCATGTTTGACATGAGCTGGTCAGAAAATTATGACTTCCACAAAGGAGCCTCTGGGCCTGAGGCAAAGCAGGACTGCTATAAAAGGCAGCCCAAGTCTCTGCTCTTGCATCCACTTCTCTCACCTCCTCCTCCTCTTCAGGAATCAGGTGAGTGGGAAACCTCTTCTCTTCCTGCTGCTGCTGCTGCTTCAAGAGCAGCTCTTGCCTGGCTGGAGGTCTCAGATGAGAGGGGCTACAAGAGCCCAGGGCTGGGAGCTGCTTGTGCTGGGAGACGGCAGGGGAGAGAAGGTCTTGTGCAGACAGAGAGAGGCTGGGACTTGGCTCAGGTGGCTGATGGGCTCTTAGCTGGGCACTGCAATGGGGGCCAGGAGTTCTCATGCTTCTAGAGTGTTTGGGTGCAGTGCTGCTTCTCATGCGTCCTCACTTTGTGCTTCTCCCTGTCTTCCATCCTAGGTGCACCTGTGACCTTGAGCCATGTCCTGCTGCAAGCCCTGTGACCCTTGCTGCCAGCCCTGTGGGCCCTGCCCGCTGGCCAGCAGCTGCAATGAGTGCTGCGTCAGGCAGTGCCAGAGCTCCCACGTTGTCATTGAGCCGCCTGCTGTGCTGGTGACCCTGCCTGGGCCCATCCTCAGCTCCTCCCCACAGAACACCGCCGTGGGNCCTTGCTCTCTCACTGCAATTGCAATCCCATCCTGGGACAGTTTCCATAGCAGAAGCTCTTTCCTCCACCATTTCCTTTTCTCTGAGGCAATAATCCCAGCCCCTCACAGCAAGAGGATCTTTTTCCCATCTCTGGCTGCATGGGAAAATTAGGATGCCAGGGGAGAACTGAGGCCCCTTCCTGCAGAGCTCCACCTTGCACCAAAGTGTGCAATGTCCTCCTGCCTGGATGCCAACACAGGAGAATTCTACTTTGCGTCTATCCCTCTCTCCCACCTCTCCTGAAGCGTGGAGCTCATAGGGAACACCCTTTAGTGCTCAAACCTCAGAAATCTGGGATCACAAAGACAGTGGAGACTTCTGAAAAGCCTGTCTGGGAAACACAGAGTGGACTGGCCACAAGAGACGATCAGTGAGGGATAGATGGTTGGGAAAAGGGAAAAATAGAGTTGCGTTGGGGAACATTTGTTTAAGACACTGACTATGAAAAAATAAAACAGGATATTGAGAAACAGAAGAAAAGAAAAAAATGCAATCCCTTCTCCCCCAAAACAGCCCTTGAATTAAGTTCACAGTGTCCTTGACCATGGCAGGGGGGGTTTGGACGATGATCTTTAAGGTCCCTTCTCGGCCTTAACATTCTGTGGTTCTTTGATTCCATTATTCAGTTCATCCACACCACTTTCTTAAAGATTCAACTTCCATCCTTCATTAATGAATCTTTTGTTTCCTCCAGCCCTCCACGGCACTGTGGGCTGTGGAACGGAATAGTTTTGGTCAGAGCACAACTGTTCTTTTCTGCCTCCTCACATTTTTCTCGGTTCCAGGATGAGCTCTTCCTACAGGCTGCAGTCCTTCAAGGTAGGTATGGATGCCAATACAGAAGAACTCTACTTTGCCACTATGGCTTTGCCATATTTTTGTATGAACAAACCCATAGAAATTACACAGCTTTACATTACACGTGCCTGCATGGGATGCCAACAGCCCAGCACTTGGGCACTCTGCCTGTTTTTATGATCCCAGAAATTTTTGGGCCTCTCATCTCAGCACTTACAGAAGAATTCATATAGGAAAGCATGTGGCATGTGCCAGGAAATGAAAATGAGGCATTATAGGAAACCAGGACACATCCGCCACCATTAGATGGGATGGTGCATATTTGACATGACCTGGTCAGAAAATTATGACTTCCACAAAGGAGCCTCTGGGCCTGAGGCAGGGCAGGACTGCTATAAAAGGCAGCCCAAGTCTCTGCTCTCGCATCCACTTCTCTCACCTCCTCCTCCTCTTCAGGAATCAGGTGAGTGCAAAGCCACTTCTCCTCCTCCTCCTGTTGCTGCCTCACGAGCAGCTCTTGCCTGGCTGGAGGTCTCAGCTGAGAGAGGCTACAAGAGCCCAAGGCTGGGAGCTGCTTGTGCTGGGAGAGGGCAGGGGAGAGAAGGTCTTGTGCAGACAGAGAGAGGCTGAAACTTGGCTCAGGTGGCTCCTGGGCTTTGAGCTGGGCACTGCAATGGGGGCCAGGAGTTATCATGCTTCCAGGCTGTTTGGGTGCAGTGCTGCTGTCCTCACTTTGTCGCTCTCCCTGTCTTCCATTCTAGGTGCACCTGTCACCCCGAGCCATGTCCTGCTGCAAGCCCTGCGACCCTTGCTGCCAGCCCTGCGGCCCCTGCCCCCTGGGCAGCAGCTGCACTGAGTGCTGTGTCAGGCAGTGCCAGGACTCCCATGTGGCCATCCAGCCACCTGCTGTGCTGGTGACCCTGCCTGGGCCCATCCTCAGCTCCTCCCCACAGAACACCGCCGTGGGATCCTCCACCTCTGCTGCTGTTGGCAACATCCTCAGCTGTGGCGGAGTGCCCATCAGCTCTGGGGGCTTTGACATCTCCTGCATCACCAACTGCTATGGTGGCAGCAGATGCCGTCCCTGCTAAATCTGCTGGCAACGTCCTTCGGCAAGAATGTCCAAGACCTCAGAACCTTGTTCTGGGCAGAGATAAAGCTTCTGGACATTGTAGTTTGAATGTTCTGACCATCGCTTCCTTGTTCTACTCTCCTCTCCTTTTCTGTCCCTCACTCCCCAAGGCGTGGGACACTCCCAGTGTGGACCTGCCATCCTTCGTTCCTCTGCAGAGCAGTGCAAAGAACACCACATGGGAGCTCCATCTTAGTGGCTGCTCCTGGTGCTCTCTGAGAGCCATCTCCTTTTCTTCTTTAAACTTATTAAAATTGTCTTGCATTCAAGCCTTGGCCTCAGAGTCATCTGTTGTTCCTGGGCACCTCCTCCAATCTGCTCAGGAAAAAGATGCAGGACGCAATGTTTGGTGCTCGCTGCAGTGGATTTTATTTTGTGTCCTTTTCCCTTGGAGCTGATGAAGCACATCCCTGGCTACTTGGCAGCCAAAGGCCATCATGGAGACTTTGGTTTCAAAGGAGTGGGGATGGGAAACAACAACACCTGGGACAGCCACAACTCATCTCTTCCTCTCCTTCCTTCATAGCCTGGCCTGGCATCTGTGGCCAGCACTCTGGGGAACAAGGAGATGAGATCCAAACCTCACACAGTCATCACTCAGCAGGGCCCAGCTGCTGCCCAGACATGCAGGGCTGAGGGGATTCACAAGGAAGGATTGGTAACACACTCAATCTGTGCAGTGGAGTCTTCATCAACGTGAAACCAACACCTCCAAAAGGATCTAATGTTTTGTTCCAGATGTCCATCTTCCCTGTCCAAGTGACTTGTGGCTTCACTACTAATGTCAACGTTTAGGAATGTTGTCAGCTGTACTTCAAAATTTATGGTTAATCCTTGGCCTTCAGCTCCAGGCAATGGTCCAAATATCATTCCTTGGGTTCCCATGTTCTCTTGGGTGCAGAAGATGAACTCCTGAAGCTTTGCTTGGCTCCAAATACCAGCTCAGGTTCACAGGTCTCTGTGATGCATGAAACCTTCCTCCCAAGCTCCTCCTGCCTGGATCTCCAGGCAGAGACAGTGGCTTTTTCCATCTGATGGGATACTGGCTCACCTTGCTCTGTCTCAAAACCAAGGCTTCACCTGCTCCTATGAGGCTTGCTGCCCAAGCACTGTTCTCAGTTGCCAGAACCAAACCATCTCCAGTTCCACTTTGCTTTGTGTGTGTGACCCCCCATGGGCAACCCCTCCACATGGCTCCATTACCAAAACCTTCTGCCCTCTCAAATAATCCTTATAGCCAAACTGGGGAAATACAAGCTGGAGAAGTGGAGTTTAAGGTGGCTGAAAATTCCACTAGATGTCCAGGCTCTCACCATAGCTAAATACTGCATCTCCCACACAGGCACCTTGATTCACTCAATTTGTATCACCAGCATATCTTGATTTTACCAGAAACAAAGGACAAAGGCTCAGACAAAAGAATACAGAAAGAAATGCCACTGTCTTGAGAGCTGATTACAATCCTCCAGTTTACCATCTCCCATGCCAGCAAAAACAAACAAGGCAACAAAACTAGAAAAGCTCCCTAATTAACTGCATGGGAAGGATTTGCCTTCCAGTTCTTAATGAGTGGTGAGAAACATTCCACACTTCATTAGGGGCAGGGCCATGTGATGCCTTTGGGGGATCAGAGGTTTTAAAACCATTGCAGGCAACCCAGGCATCAAGAGCTCTGAGTCTGATGCTACTGTACAAAAACTGTTCCTCTGGGAAATCTAGATGGACCCATCTGTGCCAAGGGGATCCATTTCTGTATAATATCTCCTCAGGACTGCAGTGAACAGCACAGATTCAATACCCCTATAACAGTCAAGGGGTGGATGAATAAAGAGGTAGGTAAAGGATGTTGTTGGTTTCTTATGAGATTTAAAGATTATTTGCATGACTTTGTCAAATATTTCCCATCCTTGCTCTGTACCCCTCATTCATCACAGACATTTCCCTAGCAATCAAAACCAAATCTCTGCCTGCAACACAAAGCCTGCAATCAGGTTTTCACACACAGGATGAGTTCTTTTCTACTCAGTCTTTTCCAGTTTGGGCCCCCACACCCTTACTTCATCCCAGAGCTCTGTAGTCACTCCAGAAACACTTTTGGCCATTATCCCTGGAGCCCACATCAAAGAGCAGCAAATGGTGTTGCTCCAAAGGCAGGGCAAGCTCAGCAGCCTTCTTCCTCAACAAGAAACCTCTCGAGACATCAGGTCAGGTTAGGAGACTGCTGCTTAAGATTCCTAAGAGAGGAAGTCTCCTAAAGATGCAACAGGTATTTTCTCCTTCAAGGAAGAAAAATTGTTTGAGCACAGGTCCCCCTGGCAAATTCCCAAATTTTGGGGAATTTTTGTCTTTTTGTCCTCACCAGTTTGCAGGTGACAGCACCTCCTCTGAAGCTGAAGTCCACAGGGGAGCAAAAGCCTTTTTTCTATTGTCAAAACTCATCTGGCTTAGTTGGCCCTGGTCCCCATCTGCCCTGCCTTTCTTGCTCTGTGCAACTGAAGCTCTTGGCTCCATGGGACAGGCACTGGAAGCAGATCCACTCAGAGCTTCCATGCACAAGCTGGGCAGGATTTCTTGGCATTTCTCCTAGTGCTCTTTGAAGTTTTTAATATGGAGAATGCAAGAGGCAGCCCAGCCTGCAGGGCTGGGCTGTGGGGATGGCCATCACATCCTGTTGTGATGAGTGCCAGAAATGTGCAAACTCATTTGAGCTCATCTGCAGAGCATTGCATGCAAATTTATCCATGCCATGCACCCAAAGGAATTTATCATCCACCTAAGACCATCCATCAAGCAAAAATGTCCTTGTGTGACCACTGTGGATTCAACAGGAACAACCCTGGCTGGGCTGGAGCACACCAAGTCACCTCATGGCCCAAAGATGGATTGGTGAGGATCTCCAGTCATGGCCTGAAGAGTGGAAGAAGCCAAACAACCTGGGGAATCTCTTCCAAGTTTGGTGAATGAAGGAAAAATACTGAAGCTCAGCAGTGCAGTTCAGCTGCCTGGAAGAGAAAAAACAGTTGCAATCAGATGCTGGGAGGGAGAGAGTGAAAAGGACATTGTGTGTCCTTTTGGGATCCATTTGGTGTCCAGACAAAGATTGCAGGGCTGAGAGGAGCTTGGCCTTTTGTCAGTGTGGTTGAAAACACCACCCCAGGACTGCCCCAGGCCACTGGTCCTGGTGTGTAGAGGGCTCTTCCAGCAATTGGAGTGAGTGTTCTGCCCACAATTACATGCTCCTGCCCCATAAATTTTAGGAAATCTCATTTTAACCTCAAAACAAACATCCAGGAGGGAAATATCATAGTGTAAACAAGGAAGTGAAAGGCACCAGGAACTTGGAACACAGCCTGTATCATCTGGGATGCCTTACATTTCAGAAGAGCATGTCAAAATTTTTTCTGTCTGCTTGGGCACCCTCCTGAGCCTGGGGCAGCATAAAAACCAATGCAGGTCCCTGGTGTCTCATCCACTTCACTCTCATTTTTCTTCTTAAAAGCAAGGTGAGTCCGCAGGCCCTTTTCCTTCTGTTACTCCCAGAGGATGAAGCCATTACTCAGTGGACTGTTACTCTTTTTCCCATATCTTTGCCTGAAAGCCCCATAATTTCAAAGTTACAATAATTTGGAGGGAAAGGGCTCACATTTTTCATTCCAAGGGAGGTTCCCACCTTCCTTGGCAGACATCTTTCAAACCAGGATATTTTTTACTCCCCTTACCTCCATTCTGCAGCAGATGAGATGGAACCCCTGTTCTTTTCCATTTGTGTGAATGGATCCTGTGCTCTGGGCTTGACAGAATGTTCATGGGCTGTTATTTGCAGAGTGCTTGGGACCTAAAGACAAGGATTGTTTTTGCCATCCTACATAAATGGGCCATCTAAAAGAGCCCTGTGTGCCATCCCACTGCTGAGCATGACTGTGTGTTCTGATTGAGCTGCTGGCCTAGTTTGATTTTTTGGAATCCTTTCTACTTTGTTTTTGCACTTAATCCAACTGCATCACAGTGCAAGGTTTATTTTTAGTTGTTACAGAGGGCTCTACCTCATAAATTAATTCGGTTTTTACAAATTGGCAGAGTTTAGGGTGAGGTGGTGTGGAGTTTGGCTTTACTGCATCAAACTTTTCTGACAATGAATAAAGGATGGGGAGATCATATAGAATGTAGTCTGCCTTCCACTCTACTTCATTAGCAAGGCTGGAAAACTCCTCATTCTCCTGCTCTACAATGAGACAGGGAGTTTGCAAATTTAATTCTCTTTCTATTTGGAAGAAGTCATACAGCTGGTTCTTCAAGTTTTCAGCCAATCTCTTTTTAGCATTCAATTCCTTTTCAGCTTTCTCTCCAAGATGTTCGACTTCTAATTTGCAAAGCTTTAGTTAAATAAAACAAAGACTAAATGCCTTGGATTTCATTGCTTGGCAACATACTTCTCTCACGAAAATGGCAGTGTGTTTCTCCTTTTCTATTACCATGCCCCACATTTTCTTGAGTGTACTGTGCCCCTGTAAATATTATGTTTTGTCTGTTTCTCAAAATTTCCCATCCTGCCAACTACACCAAATTGTCACTGGTGGAGAGGGAGCTTCGGACGGAGTTTTTTAGAGAAGTCCTGCTGAGTTGTGAGGTGCAGAGAGAACACCCTGGCTTTCTAAATTTCTCCTCAAAGAGGAGCCTGGGTCAGGCTGCATCCAATCTTAGCTCTAGCCTGGGAGTGGTTTAAGTCACTTTGTCCTGCAGGATTAATAAGGGAAAATTTTAGATACATATATATACTCGTGTATATATATATACAAGTATATATATATATATATATATATATAATATATATGCACATGTGTATATAAATATATACATATAATGGTTATGTATATGTAAAATAAATTATTATGACAAATTATTAGACAAAATATATTAATCAGAATTATTTGCTACACATTGTAAAACCTAAAACTATTAGTGCTGTGTAGAATAGGATAATGTACTATATCAAAGCAATGATATTACAGAAATAACATTAAAGCCAGCAAAAATAAAGAACTATTGAAATAGATAATAGTGCAGCTCAGCATACCAGTGCTCATGGGCAGATCTCTTTTACTTGACATAAAGGAGCAGTCTTGAAGGGACACTTCCACTCCAAGGCAGGAAAGCTCATACATATATCCAAGCAGGAAAATGTTAGAATAACCTATTGCCCAAAATTGGACTGGACATCTATAGTACAGAGGGATTGACTCTCAGTCATGTGTCTGTCATTGCAGCAATGTAAGGATGTTGATTGGGGTTTGGTGAGCCCTCAATCCACTACTGATAGATGAGCCTGGCAAATAAGGCATTCTCCAAGTTGCTTGACCACATTACAGGGCAGAATATCCTGCCATAGTGTCTCACTCTTCCATCACTCCAGGAAGACCCAGGGCTCTCATCTGTGCCTGCCACATCTCCCCAGAGCAACACCTTTCTCTCTGGCAGCTGGAGACAACGTAGGGAGAGAGAAGGACCACACAGAGGCAGAGGCTGGGATGCAGCAAAACTTTAATGAGTTGGAAGAGGGAAAGGAAGCCCTCTGAGTGGGCACCATAGTGCAGGGAGCACCAGAGGGATGGAGGAGGCTCTGTCCCTTGTTCACAATGCAGTTCACACATTGGATGTGGCTTAGCCAGTGATCACAGAGAAGAAAAAGAGAGGAAGAAGAGCGGGAGAAACAGGCAATTCAGTCAAGGTTTCAGAGAGCCCAGACACCCCACCTCCAGTGCAGGTGGATGCTCAGTGCCTCTGAAAGCAATGGTCAGGATCTCCACACTCAGTCCATTTCCATCTTCTGGGTTCCGGGGGTTCTTCTGTGAGGCAGCAGCTTCAGCAGACCCTGTTGCAGCGGGGCCTGGCGATGCAGGAGATGTCAAAGCCCCCAGAATTGATGGGCACTCCCTCAGAGCTGAGGATGCTGCCAGCAGCAGCAGAGGAGGAGGATCCCACCACAGTGTTCTGAGGGAAGGAGCTCAGGATGGGCCCAGGAAAGGTCACCACCACAGGGGAGGGTTCAATGACGATGGTGGAGTCCTGGCACTGCCTGACACAGGGCTCATTGCAGCTGCTGCCCAAGGGAGTGGGGCCACAGGGCTGGAAACAGGGGTTGCAGGACTGGTAGCAGGACATGGCTCGGAGTCACACGTGCACCTGGGAGACAAGAAAGAGACAAGATGGGGATGGTTAAGAAGACACCTCTCTACCCACCACAAGGGAGCCAAGACACAGCCTGGCCTGTGCAGGGAGGAGAACAGGACTCTTTGCCTGCTCCCCACCACTGAGCAAGGACAGACAGGCCCACAAAAGCACTTTCTTAGTCAAGACAACAAGAGTTCCCCC